GCTCGCCGTGGGCTCGGTGGGGCGGCAGCTGCCTTCCCCGCCGTGCGGCCCGGGGCCAGCCGCTGTGCGGGGAGCCGTGCCCCGCTGTGCGAGGCGCTGCACACAGAGCCACGACACGATAGGGCCAATGGAGCTATTGCCAACCCCGTGTCAAAGCGGAATTCAGGGCGCGCATCCATCTGAAGTGGCTTGCCTGAGGACATGGCTCTCCAGAGGTCACTGCCAGACCGTCCTGACGGTCCCACCGGGGAGGGCTGGAAAGTACCTGGGCACATCATCAATGCGGCAGCATTTACCGTCCTCATCCATGCTGCAGCAGCTCAATAACCTACCCAATTTGGGGTTAGTGCGGGTCTTTCCCCCTCCAGCTTTTCAAAGGTCTGTGCGCAGGGAAGTGTACAGAGCACTTGCTATGCCAAGAAGTTGTCTTCACAAATTATGAAGCACTCTAGGCAAGTGGAACTAAAGTTGCAATGATCTGAATAAAAAGACGGTAGTATTTCTTATTTCTGCATGAAAGTTCTTAGTTATTTGCAAGGTTGGTTTTTTTTTTGTAGCTTTTGCTGCAAATTAGTGAGGTAACAGAGTAGGTTCAGTGTTCCCATTCCTGCAAGGAGAGGTGTGCAGGACCTCCAGTCAAGTCAATTGACTGCCCACATCACAATTGACTGTTGGGAGTAGGATGGGATTATCTAAAGGATTTGGGACTAGATTTGTGTAGAGGAGACCTTTGTTGGATTCCCAGCTGAGTGAGAGTCTTTTTGTGACCTTGAATTGATCATTTTTTCTCCCCCTTGCACCTGTTGACTGTACTGTAAAGGAGGAATAATACAGCCTTTCCTCACAGCAATATTGTGAAGTTAAAATCCATTGACTGTGGCATTTTTAGATATTGTGATTGATAAATGCTCTGATGAAGAGATGAAAAAAATCGTCATAGGTCAAACAGCACATTTATGCAGATCAGTGCATGGTTGTTACCAACATCACTTGTGGTATTCTTTGCCCAGTCTAATCTCATGTGCTTTCATCATTTCCTTTAAGGTTTTAATACGTTTCATAGTTGAGAAACTCATTGTGATATTATTTTAAATGAACATGAAAAGTATTTTAAAGTTACTTTAAAGTAAATATGCGTAGATCACTTTGAAAGGTGAGGAGTAGGACTAAAAGTAGTGAAAAGTTGTATATTGTAGGAAGCAATCCTTCTTTGGTCAATGTATGTTATTTAGCCTATCCAAGAGATCTTTTCCCCTTTCTGTTCTATGAAATAGATACAATAACATTTAGAAGATTTCAGAGTACAGTATCTGATTACTGGTATATATCTTGAAATTTAGAATAAATTATCAAATAACCAATGAAGATGCTTACATCTTTAGGAGAACAAGATAATGTTTTATAATTCTCAGAAATTTTAGGAGTGGACATTTGTTAAAACCAATGTTCCATATACATTTGAAGTACAGCTTGTACCTTAACTGGGACTCTCTGGTCCGGTAACGTCCGTGGTCCGGCAGGACCACAGATGTTGCTGGACCACAGAATCCAGGTATAGGGAGGTCTGGCTGTGGGGTAGGAGT